AAATAAAAATAGCTGTTTGGCAGTTTTTACATATTTTCATGGTATTGTACTTCACAAAGGAAAGCCTGATTTGTCCTTCCCTTTGGGAAATTATATGTAATATGTGAAAGGTTGTTGTGAATGGCCAATTTCAGCCAAAGGGGTCTGTGTGATGCTTTCTGGAGCTTGCAGGGAATTCGCTTTGCTCAAAGTGCTTCAACAGAATGTTTGGAACAACAGGAAGGAAAAGACTTTTGTATTTCTTCCAGAAGAAAGTTCTGCAATTTGTGCTCCATATCCAGTCACATTCTGGGCTTAAAGAGAGGTAGTTTGATTTCCTTACCCGGCTGAGATAGTAAAGCTGCTCTTATGGAGAATGGAATCCAACTCCTGTAAGGAGTGCTGGGTAAAGTATATCTGGTGTAGGAGATGGGCAGAAACTGAGCTCCAAAACTTGCGTTCTGAGAACTGGAGTGGTTTGACATTGCTGTGTTTGCCTGAGGACAGAAACTTCTGTCCTGAAGAGGAGAATTTCCACCCCTACTCTGGCTTTTGTAATGAATAGTTTTGGCTCGTTCCTACAAACCTGCCCTCGTCAGGGGTTTGAGGTGCTGGGCCAGGCTGGCTCTGATGTGGTGTCACACTTCCTCCTGTGACAGAGAGAAAAATTCCCCCGGGGGAGGAATGGGGAGGACAGCTGGAGGTGCTGAGGTTTTAACAGCGCTGCAGGCGCTGCAGGAATTCCCCTGATGCAAATCCGGGCTCTGCTGAGATTTGCTGTCCCCTGGGATGTGCTGTGCCACCTCCCTGCCTCGGCTCCCAGGGTGCAGTGTGTCTGACGAGTTTGTAGGGCTGGTGATAGGTTAGCTTCAATCTTCAGCCTTGTTTGGAGTTGCCATTTAAAAGGTGATTCCTTGAGGTGATTCCTTAAGAAGCCTCTGGGAAGTTGGGTTGGGTGGCTGAGGATGAGCCCCAGCACTGGTTTTACACTGCGGGTTCCTTCCTGTGCTGTTCCATCCTCAGTGCTTTGGTCACTCAGCACTGGTTTCCAGAAGAGCTAAGGTTTATTTTCTTGGCACACTGGGATTGGTAGCCCCAAAATGGGAGATAAGGATGATGATGGAAGGCAGCCTGAGCAAAAGTTGTCTCTGCTGTGGCAGTAGCTGACACCTCTTTTGGTAGAAATGAAAATTATTTTACCATTGTTATATAAACTATATAAAAAATCAAGATTGAGGGGAATCAAAATAATAATTTTTGAAGTTTTGCTGGGAAAAAAAATGAGGTTTGCTTGATTTTGGAGCTGCCAAAGAAAGATTTCAGCTTTTGCTCTGTTTTGATTACTACAGTCAGTCTAGGTATTGATTTTAATACCTGCAAGAATGATCAGAGCTGAAAAATAATTATTGCCAGAAAGCCAAGAATCCCCTTTTTATCTTTGATAGCAGAGTTCAGATGTGTGTTTCAGGTCTCTGTGGAGAGGTGCTCCTTGAGCTGCATCACTGTCTTTGGGTACCTGCAGCCGTGCTGATCCACTCCAGAAAGCTTGGCAGGCCTTCCCTGGGAACTAACTGGAGCAAATTCGTTTATTGGTGTCAGGGGAAAGGTGCATTAGTGCTGCTTCAGGTGGCAGGCAGCAGGTGTGAGAGACATGGATTCAGGAGCTCTGGGAATGGGAATAGTATTTCGGGCAAAGTCATCACCACAGTCCAGCAGAGGGGATTGAAATATTTAATTGTTGTTCCTGTCCTGGATTCAAAGAGGTAGAATTGATCCAGAGCTGAGTTCAGAGGGATAAATACCCTAGGGCAGTTACTGCTGAGTTACCAAGGCTGTGCATCTGCTAGTCTGAAAGGAGACCATTTTTTTTCTTTTTTTCTTTTTTTTTTTTTTTTTCTTTTGTGAATCTGGAATGATCCCTGTCAGAGTAAGAATGAAGGTCTAAGTTTCCAGGAACACAGAATGTGAAAGGGCAGCTTGGTTTTTCTGCATGATTTAATATCCCTCCCCCTTTTCTTGGGTAATCTGCTCTTCCCTCTGTCTGTGGGGGTGGCTCCGTGTTTTAGCTGTAATTAGCCTGGATAACCATCCTGCTGGGAATAGGGTCAGAAATCCTCCTGGTGATGCCAAACCTTTCAGGTGGGGAACTCGGGGGCTGTACCAGCCCTGCCCCACTGAGAGCCCAGACCTCCTGTGCTGTTCCTGCTGCCTCCCAGGGGAAGCACTGCCTGTTCTGAGCTGTTTGGGAGCCCTTTGGAAAGAGAAGGGACAGGGACAGATGGATGAACTGTGGGCTGGGCTAATGGTCCCTGAGGGAAGATGCCATCCATCTGCCTTATAAAATGAGTACCAAGGTGGATTTCTGGACCATCTTGTAGATACTTGGGTGGAAGGGAAACAATTTTCTGTGTCCACATCAGCAGTTCTTGGAACACTTGCTTGAAATGTGATGCTGCTGTGTGAGCTGCCTCGAGCCTGGCTGTGGAACTGAACCCAAGCAGGCACCCCCCTCAGCCCAGCAGTTCTTCCTTCAGCTGAAGGTACAGTTTGACTAAGTGTGAGTTAAGCTGTTTGCTGGGTGTGATACAACCTGGAAGTGATCACCTTTTGACCCAGCTTTGCTGTTCTGATGGTGGGGTGCAGTTGTCACAGTAACCACTCTGCTCTTAAGCAGGTCGTCTTCTCTCTGCTCTGTGTTTGCTGGGGCCTGGCTCTTGGGGGCTTCGAACTGCCTTTCCCAAGGGTGCTTTTAGTGCCTCCCATGATGTGACACACATTTTGTGTCCCTGGATAACTTGGCTGCCTGTTCAAATGTAACTGACTGAAGTCTTTACAGCTGCCACCAGAAGTTTTAATCTTCCAGGCATGATTCTACGTGCCAGTGCTTTTATTTGCCTGCAAGTGCAGAGTTGTGTGGACTTGATTTTTAAAAGGCTCTCGCAAATGTTTTAATCCTTTCATTACTACTATTTGATCAGGCCTCATCTGAACATGCCTTACTGCCTTGCAAATGCTAAATTCCTCTATAATTCCTTTAATCTTTATTTCCTCAGTTTATTCCCTCATTGTTGGATCATTAAGGTAATAGAATCCAGGGGTAGAGGGCAGCTCAACAGAGATCTGATTCCAGCAGAGGGCCCTGATCTGGCCTTTATTAGATGGTGACTCACAGGAATCGAGTGATCTACAGGTGAAAAACTATTTGCTTCTACTTAAACCTTTCTCTTGTCATGACTTCAAGAGGCTTTGGATTTCAAGACATTTTTCTTCCTCTTCCCCCCTTTCCCCCTCTTGCTTAGCAGACCACATCACCTTTGAGTTTCCCAGCAGGCTGTCCACAAAGGAATTATTTCCTGTGCAGCCTGTGAGATGTGCATGGCACAGAGGTTCCTCTTGCCCCTCTTGTTTAACCCTGGGTGGCATTTGTGCCACTGTGGAAAAGCTTTCCTTGGAAAACAGTCACATCATGAGGATTGGAGGCTTTGCCTCTCATTTCCCAGTGGTTCAGCAGCTGTACTCCAGGCAATAAGACTGAAGCAGTTCCTTTAACATAAGCTGGAAACAAAAGAGTTCCTCAATGAAAGTTTTGGTGTAGTCAGATGTAAACCAGGAGGAGTTACTTTTGGAAGTGTTTAAGACACAGTTACAGGAAATCACCCCAAAAAATTACCCATGTCAAGAGGGGACAGAGAAAGCATATGGTATCTCCAGGTCAGAGGGGCAGGTGTGCCTATGAGTCAAAATACCTGTAATAGTATAGAAATAATAAGGTATTCACCAAAGCATCAGATTTACTATAGCAGAGATCTCAAAAGAATGTAGTACATTCTCAGTGCAATTGCGGCACCCTTTGTTTGGAGGAATTTTCCATAGTAAGTGCTAATAGTTCCAAAGTACCTGGTTACAAAGCAGTGGTACAGTGGTTTCACGAGCTGTGGGAAATCCACAGCTTACTTTTAAAGCCGGTGTGTCCTAGTGAAGGTGGATTGCCCTGGGCAGGGCTTTCTGCTAACAGATTGGCACCCAGCTTGTTAAGCTTAATTACTGTAAATCACAGCACTATTTCTGCCTTGTTTTCTCCTGGTATGGCCACCGGCAGCATTGCCCTAGAAATGGGGGACAGATAATTTTCCTTGGAATATTAGAGTGGCCATCAACTTTTCCTTCTCCCTACTTTTATTTTGGGGAAAATGCAGACAATGTTCGTGTTCCACCGTGAATTGTTGCAGCTGGCTGTCCTCACAGCTGCTCTGCTTCGGCTTTGGAGTGGGACCCTTGTCTGTCCTGCCCATGCCATGTGAGCACAGCTCCAGGAGCCAGTACCAGATCCCAGGATAAATGAATATTTACTACTTAATTAGGCCTCAATGGATGTGTCTATTCCCAAGAATTAAGAGTGGATGCTTAAGAAACTTTTGTAAGCAGAAACACTGCTTGAAACACGAGTGAGAATTAAATACAAATAAAAGGGAGGATTACCTTTAAATAGCGAACTACCCTCCGGAAAGAGTTGAAGTTTAGAGCCTGGAGAGTATCAGCCTCATGGGAAAGACAGGCTCTTCCTTTTCCATTGAGACTGGGATTTTAGCTAGAGGTTTGGATTGCTGCACCACAGAAAAAATGATTTTATCTCCTCAATTCAAGATTAATCAATTATTTGAATTCTTCAAAACCCCAGGAGCAAAACCAAATCCCTTTCTGTATTTCTTCTTAGTCAGTATTTTCCAGTGGTACTAATTCATTTGCATTTCTCTGTGCTTTAAAACTAATTTCCCCTGTGTTCTACTCTATTTTTATCTGTTCAATATTAACCCAGCAAAAGTCTGTAGAATCAGGTGTGAGAGTAAACAACTTCACATTTTCAGTATTGGTTACAAAGTCAGTTATTACTATTGGAAAGCAACTTCAGTCTGAGCTGCTGATTCCACCCCCTGCCCTTGCCTCTTTTACCAGTCAATCCCCTCAAGTATTGTTTCCTGTTCTTGAGCAAAAAGAATTTCTGCCTTGTTCTTGTTCCACAGACATCCTGTGCCAGCAGCTTGCCCCTGTGACCTGCCAGAACTCCACTGAACTGAAGACTTTTTTCCTGTGGATTATGTAGGTACCAAGTATCCAAATAATTAAGTTTTGATAACCAAAAGGTTTCTAGGAAAGGCACCTGGGATTATTCTTAACTGTCTGTGCTTGGGGACATTGTGACTGTATTTAATTCATCTCAGGTCTTTGCCTGGCAGCTCTGGGGGAAGGCAAAGATTGCTGATCCTGTTGTAGGTCTGTGGAGATGGAATGTTTATTCTGGGATCCGATCAAAGGAGTTTGCACTCAGGTGATGAGCTTCCAAAAATCAGTGAGGACAATGTACAAAAGCTCACTGTGGTTTACCCTCATGTTTTCAAATTTAAAATGATCAGAGGATTGAAGAGTGTTTTGTGTGTGGCTGTTATACCTGCCAGCCGTGTGCCAACACTGCCAGCTTCACAAATGCTCTGATTGCAGAGAGAACGTGAAGTCAATGGCAAAATTTTAAAATTCAATAAACTGCACGTGGCTGAAGCTTCCAGCACACTCTTTACTACACAGGGGTGGTGTTTTACAAGCTGTTGTGTAATACAACTTGAATGATATGAATAAACTTTCTGTTCCTTCTGTACTTTCTGGACATTTGGATGTGCAATTCTGTAATGCAGATGTGACTTAGCCAGGACCAGGAGCAGCAGTTTATCCCTGTGCCATTTTTAATGTTTTTACTTCAGAAGAGGCCTGGGGAAACAAAACCTCCTCAGTTCTCTGAATAAGGAAGAGAGGAGGGGATGTATCTTTCCAGTGATTGGCTTTGCATCCAGTACAATGCAGAGAAATGGAAAAAAACGCCTGTTTTAAAAATGCCTGTGGAAAAGCTCAAGATGGAGAACCCACTGCAAAGTCTGTAAAGGGAAAAAAAAAAAAGCCAAGCTTATGGTGAAAGTAAAGCTGCATGGCTGTAACCATGGAGACCAAAGCTCTTCTGATGCAGAAATAAATGAACACAACCTTTTCATATTTATTAGTGGGACTGATGAGGAAAGATAAAGTCAAATTAAAATATAAAGCAATAGAGACAGAGCAGGTTGCTGCCTCTGCCCCTGCAATGCAGGTTATTGTAATGGATCATTACAAATGAGCTGGGGTTACAGAGAGGCAAATTAGTTATGAAAGGAACAAAACACTCTTAGTTATACCAACCTGTTCATCCAAATATCAGCTTCTTTATTGACAAAACTGGAGAGACAGTGCACACAACATATTCCTGAAATGTTTTGGTTCTGATGGAAAGGGAAACAATACCATGGCATTGTATGAGATGTGTGTACTACACAAAGGGAAACTCTCCTGTAACTGTACTGTGTATTTGACACCTAATTTCTTGGTAGCAAGAACGACAGAGTGTTCCTATAAAAGTCCTGGGTGAGTATTTGGGTTTGTCTTGAAAATACATGCCAAAGGGTCAAGTATTAACTGGTGAGTTGTTGCTACAGAACTGTTACTGCAGGACAGGGGATGGCAGCAGGGAATGTCACTGGAGCTTTTGGGAGGATTCAGAGCTCGTGCAATAAACCTTCAATGCAGATGTTTGACATGATGTTGAAGGAATTTTTTGATTGGGCAGAAATCCCAGAGCAGAGAAAGGATTAAGGTTAAGGGTGGCTTTGGTGTGTGGTGGCCGGGATAGAGAACTGGGAATTCAGGAAAGCTGCCTGTCTGTCCCAGCTGGGGGAGAGCTGAGTGGTTGTGCTGGGATGGAAGGAGAGGAGCACTGAGAGGGGAAGCGAGGGAAGTGTCCGTGTGGAACCCTGGCCCCGGTGCAGGTGTGGGTGGGAACAGCTATGGCTGTGACTCCCCAACACAGAGGGCACCACAGCAGCTGCTGTGCCTGTCTGGGGCTGCCCTCAGCACCCATCCCTGGGGGTGACAGGGCACAGCAGCTCCTGCGTTCTGCTGCCCAAGCTGGCGTGGGTCCAAAAACAATGGCTGTGCCAAAATCTGCTGTCAATCCCAGCTGCTCCACCCTGCAGATCTCAGAGTGGATGTAAGACAGAAAACTCGCTTCACTTTCCTTCAGTTCAGGTGAAGTTGCTGAAACAAAGAAGGGTCTTAATGGTCTTTGTGCTGCTGTGCTCCCAAAGCCTGGGCAGCCTCCCAGCTCCAGAGCTCCCACCAGACACTGGGAATGCCAGTGGCAGCTCCAGCTGCTCCTCTGGGAGCGTAACAGGAGGTGACCAGAGATCTGCTACAGAACTTTGCAATGGCTGTAAAACTTGGGTACCCTCCAGCTCATAAAGTTACAGTGGTATGACATTGCACATGGTGTTAATTTACACAAACTGGGGTTAAGGTTCTCTCAGTTTTATTGGGCTCTTTACCTCTTCTGCTTTTTGACTTCCTCAAAAGTGTGGTTAGCCTCAAATCTGAGGGGAATCCGAGCCCAGCCTCAAATTCACATTTGAAGAGTAACTGGTTTGAAATAGTGGAAAGTTTATGGCAAAACTTAAAGTAATCACCCTCCATCCCTCTTGATATTCTGGCAAGAGACTGGTTTTGTGCAAGACCTTTAATTTAATCACTGTATAAAATGCCATTTCCTGGAATTTTCTGGCAAATGAAGCGCTCCTAGAGAGTTCATATTTCAGTTTTAGTATTCACTGACTACACCCAGGAGTTCAGAATATTTAACTTATAACTACAGAGCTCACTAATACTAAATTTACCTTGCCAGATACTGAGACAAATCCGAGGCAGGTTGATAAAAGGATACCAAATTGCTTCTGCCATTGCTTGATAGATAAAGGCTGCTGTACTTTGGGTTTAAGTTTTTGCAAATACATTTGTAAAATCCCTTAAAGCCACGATGAAGGACACAGAATAAATTCTGAAATGTCTCAAATCTTCAGCCAGCAGCTTCCTGCAACACAGTGGGAGGAAGGAACACAACCAAGTTTTCTTAGAAAGGACTCAGCTTTTCCAGGACTCCCTGCCTGGAGCTACTGGGATACAGATCAAGCCACTGACAGCTCTAAGTGGTCGTTAACAAACTCTCACCTGATTTACTGAAGTTATTCTCCATGAAATAGTTTGGAAAACCTGCTCACAAAAATAAGTTGAGGTTCAAGTTTTCTTTTAAAGCACAGAAACATAAGGAGCTCTTTTGCTGATGTAAATGCAAAGTGTTTTTCCTGTATTGTCCTTGAAACATCTTCTACCCCTGGATTTCAGAACTGGGAGCCGGCCAGTCCAACTTCCACTCCTGTGAGGTAAAAAAGCACAAGACTTGTGTACCTTCTGTGAGGAGGGGGGGGAAACAGGACAAATCTAAATCATCTCCACCTCCAGGTACCTGTTTTCAGTCGTCACACATAGAGTTAGCTCAACAAACCCCAGAAATGCTCACTGCAGTGCCAGCAGCACATGGAGCAGAGCCTCAGCTTTGGCTCCCAGGGCCAAGTACAGTTAAACCCACCTGACCGCTCCAGATCTCTGGGAAATGGTTTTGCTGCTTAAAGTGTTGGAAAACACAGAATTCTTCCCTCCTTTACAACATCAGTGAAAACTGCACAGGTCAGTTTAGTTCTTGTACAGTATCAAACAGCAGGAACTGGGATTTATGAGTCCCACTCATTGCTCTGATGAAGAGTTTTATTCTCATCACAGTTAGACTGCCCTCAGTAAATCCTCCGCTTGCCTTGCTCAGCTGTCTGTTCCCTGCACACATCTACAGTGCAGGACTGGCTTGGCCAAACCAATCCCAACTTTGAATTGCCTGATTTTTAGTTTTTCTGGTACCCGAATTACTTTTCCTGCCAAGCCAAGCCAGCCTGTGCTCCTCCCTGTAGGAGGGGTCAGTGTTCCAGCACTGCTGCTCTGCTGTCCCTCAGGCCACAGTGCTCCAGACACAGCTCTGGGGAGGGTTTTTAGAGGTGAAAGCAATTTCCATTCATTGAGTACAAAGGGATGGAAAAGGCAAGGAATTCACAATTTCCCCAGGATGCAGAACAAGCAAACCACTACAGTTCTATTTATAACTCTGTGTTCTACAACACTGAACAGGAACAACAAATTTCAGACCAAGTTGGTTGTGCAGATTTTCAATATCCTTGAAGGACATCAGTCTATTCAGTAGGTACTAAACAAGCCCCAGCAGGGCTGTGGAGCACTTGGAAAAACAAAGGGGAGAAAAATAAAAGGAATGAACAGTGCAAGATGGGATTTTCTAACCAGGAACGTAGCAGTTGCATGTAATAAAGCAAATATTTACATTAAGCACAATACAGCAATTTATTTAGATGCTTAAATGAAGAATACAAAGGGAAATAAAGATCACAAAATTATACATACTACAACAGTGTGTCATATATTAGATGGTATAAATGAATACAACACCTCGTTGGTGTTAACTAAAGATAAAACTAAATATCCAAACCCAGCACTTTGTCTCAGTGTGCTGCTTCAACACAATACACTTTTATACAGATCTAAAAGGTGTCAAAATTAGTAGCTGCAAACTTGTTTCTTGCATGTGATTTTTCTTTTTTAGCTTAAAAGATTTCAGAAAATGGCTCTGAAATACGTTTGTCATCAGTTGTCATGTCAAGGATATTCAGAACAAGAAAATTCTATAATACAACAGAGCCCAGATATATTTTTATGTTGCTGGCCTCTGGTTGGAGATTGTACAAGGTTATGTGCAAAAACTAAGTTTGTCAAAATCCATACTAGAGCAGTCTCAAGCTTTGCTAGGGAAACTAGATACAGCATTTATTACACAGCAGGGCAACACTAAAAAAGAGAAACAGATCTATGATGGGTACACAAGAACAGTTCCATAAGCTTCACTTGAATAGGTCTAAAAGACTGTACAAATATACATTTCAACTATTCAGAATGATACATGAAAAGTCCATTTCCCCCGAGTCTGCTATACAGGTGCACCGGGTCGCGGCTGCGCCGCCCAGAGGGGCATGTTGGAAAGACACAACTCAACATGGACAAGGTGAAGAAAGGCTGGAAATGCAGATAAAATAAACCTCTGCTTTTCTCTGTGTGCATTCTGGAGCCACCAGCATATCCGTTTCACATTAAGTTACTGTGCTCATCCCAGCAGGAATTCTCAAGCCAGAGTAGCCAAGAGCGTCCGTCCAGGCCCACTGGGTCGGCAATGGCCAGCCCGGGCCAGGCTGAGCCCTGGCAGCAGTCCCACTGCAGGGGTGTGGGGCAGTGTAGGCGGTGCCAGGCTGTGCCCTCACGCCTGCTGGCTGCTCAGCTCCACGCCGGGCAGGCTGCCGTGCATGGGCTCGGCCACGGCGGCCGCCACGCCCGCGAAGGGCTCCCCGTCCTCGCTGTCCATCGCGCTGCTCTGCCACTCCATCTGCTGACTGGACAGGCTCTCCTCCATCTCCGACGTGTTCTTCCATTGCGACTGGTCCTTGGACCAAAACTCTTCTACTTTTCCATAGGAACGATTCTTCCACTTTGACTGTTCTTCATCACTTTCGGATCCGCCCCCTTTGGCCTTGACAGCTGGTTTACTGCTCCCGGCATCTTCGCTTTGGGAGGATTCATCTGTCCACACTTCTGGTTTTACTTCTGATGTATTATCTTCAAAATCTGAGACCTGCTGGGAACCAGGCCCGCTTTCAGACTGGGAAGCCCCATCTTTCCATTCCACAGTATCATCCTGATCACCTTCGCTATCCGAAACGTCCCCTAACAGTTTTGTTGGTTCTTCAGCAGAAATAATATCTTCATATTTAGAGCTTTCCTCTTGTTTTTGATCAGACTTCTCTGGAGACTGCAATGCATTTTCTTCCATGATTTCCTTGGATATGCTGTCCTCGGGGTTCTCCTCTGTGCCATCAGACGTGGGTTTTCCACCAATGTCAGAGATGCGCTGACCAAAGGGACTACGGCTTTCATTGTACTCCTCCTCTATATTTTCATAGCTGTCTGAGGAACTCTCATTGTCTTTTTCTAAGTTGATTTTTTTATCAACAGTCTTACTGGCATTGACTCTGGAGTTCTTTTCATCGTGGTTTTCAAACAGCCATTCAGCATCAAAATCCATTTCGTGTTTGACTTTGTTGAGCTCTTTCATGTTGAAGCCAAGCAGCACCCCGGGTTTGTACTTCTCACAGTCCCGAACACATTTCTTCCTTTTGTTACTGAAGTGAGAAGCGATGTCAGATTTCCAGAGCCACAAACTGGCCGCCAGCTTTTCTATCTCTCTCCTCGTGGGGTAGGGTTGCTTATTGAAATATTTTGTAAGAAACGTTTTCCTGGCTTCATAGGAATCATCTTCGTGACCCTTGGGGTCCAGCGCGAGAACTACGGGTTCTTCAGGCTTCTCCTCAAAGCCAGAGGGGGAGTCCTCGTCATCCATTTTCCTTTTCTTCATGAGTGGGAACTCCACGTGCTCGTAGGTGCGTTTCACCGGTGCCATGGCCGGGGACTGGCCGAGCCGGGACGTGCCCTTGTCCTGCCCGTTCTGGGTCTTGCCCACCCCTCTGCAGTGCACCAGGTGCAGCGTTATGGTCGAGGCCGTCATGTTACTCGTGTACACGCCGAGGCAGTGGATGCACTTGTAGGTCAGCTTCTTCTCCACGGGGTGAACCGTCTGGATCACCTGATGCCTCTCCCGTAGGTGATGTGCAAGAGCATCAGAGATGGGTCCTTTTAGGATTGAAAAGCACAGAGGACACAGAGTTTTCCCCACATCTTTTTTGTAGGGCACTGCTGCTTGTGGAGAACTTTTGACGGGTACATCAGACTTCTCCTGGATTTTGGGCTGTGGTTTTGGCGGAATGGGGGGAGTGTTCTGAGCGTGGTAAGCTACAGATTCGGCGGGAGCATCTCGCAGGTTGTAGGTGGTTACAAGGAGATGTATGTTCGTGTGACTGCCCTGCTGCAACGTCAAATCAAAGGTTAGGGTGGAATCAGTCTTAGGTCCCATTTCTTCGTCCACGTGAACCATTCTCATGTGAGCAGCCATCTTCTCCACGTCGTTGAAGGTGGAGCGGCAATAGGGGCAGGACAGGCCGTGGATCAGCATGTGGTTGAGCAGCGTGTCGGTGGGCAGGTAGCGGTTACAATAGAGACATTTGCTAGTGAAGTTGTGGATCTTCATGATGTAGTTGGCGACCGCAGGCACCTTCTCAGCCTTGTGCTCCTTTTCAAAGTGGACGCTGTAGACGTTTTCAGGGAACAGCTCGTTGCAGATTGTACAGATTTTCCACTTCTGTGTGGACGACGTATTGACAGCAGAAGGACCTGTAGCAGCCACGGGGGATTTGGAGCCAGACTGGCCCAAAGGCCTGGTCGCTGTCTGTGTCTGGGACAACGAGGCCTGTTTGAGCTGCGTCGAGGACAGCGAGGAGGAGTTGGCAGACTGCAGCGAGTACCTTGCTGAGGCCTGGGACCTCTGCTCCCCTCCGAGGGTGTAAGGCCTTCCGTTCCCACTCGCTGAAAACTGTTTCATGGTTTGTGACTGCTGGGAAAGAGAAACAGGTGTGTTTCCACTGAGGCTGAGCCTCCCCCCCGGCTGCCCAACGTAACTCGGGGGCACTGATTTGACCCCGTAATTGTTCTGTTGTAGGTGAACATTTGACATCATATTCACTCCTGCGGAATTTAACGTAGGCTTTGGTATAGTGAGTCTGTTCATCATCTGCTGTGACGAGAGAGACCGGACGCTTCCAGTGGAGAGGGTACCCATCCTCTGGGGGAGTCCCATAGGCTTTTTCTCCTGGGGTTTTGGAGCTATGAGCATCAAAGGTTTAGACCTTGGAACCACGACATTAGTGTGACCTATCATTGCTGTGACCTGGTATCCGATCCGTTCATGGTCTTCGATCACGTGCTGCACTAAAGCTTCGTAGGATTTCGGCATGAAAAGGCATCGTTTGCAGTGGATCCCTGCCTCCTCTCGGGCACCGGAGCTCAGCGGAACCGCACCATTGAGGGACTTTTCCCCTCCCTTCGCTATGTAAGGAGCAGCAACGTGCTGAAAATGTTCCCTGTAAATGTGCTTTCGAACGATCTCGTAGAGCGGGTCGCGGTAAGTGCACTTCTTACAGTAATAAACAGCTTGTTCCACACTGTCAGCCTGCTTGGGTTTAAGGCTCTCGTGTTTGTTTTTATCTTTGAAAGTGCTGATGCCTCCACTCGGTGTACTGGCATTGGGAGCATGGAATATTTTAATGTGCGTTTCCAAAGTCTTTTTGTCCGCGTTGAAGGTACAGTAGGGACAGTTGAGGAGAATCCTGTTCTCAAAGTCTTCGCTGTGAACATTCCGGAAGTGGCTTTTGTAGGCTGAAAAGAACTTCGAGGAGAATGGACATGCACTGCAGCAAAAGGGCTTTGTCCGATAGTCCTTGAACAGAGCAGAGAGCACAAACTCAGTATTGAACAGCAGTTTTTTAGGAAAACAACACCCACTAAATATTCCCCAAACAATGTTTTTAAATGATACTCATGAGACCCCCTGCAACCATCCCAAACCTTTGTTTGGACTAATTTCTCCTCTCCCAGTTCTGGCCTCCTAAGAAGTTTATCATCTGAGCACACAAGTGATGCGCCAAGAGGCCCCTCAAGAGTTTAACCACGACCTCAGCAGGCAGGGCTGACTCAGAAGCCTCTTTCCCACTAGTCACAAAAGAGCCTCTTCCCTGCAGCTGAGCTGCAACAAAAGGTTCCCCATAAGCTCATTTCTGAGGGAAAAGGCAAACAGGATTGTTTGAGGAGAATGAGACTGTATCCAGATGGGATACTTCCCACCTAAATCTGCCAAACTCCTCGAGATGTAAGATGGATCTATAACTTGAGCTATTTCAGTGTCTTTATCCATTACACACTTTAATATCAAAGATGGAATTCAAAACCTATTTTTGGTGAACAAAAGGATTTCAGCTTACCAAGACACAGACTAAGGCTACACAAGCCCTTAAAGCCACCAAGCCTTTTCATTTTGATCAAAGCACAAACCTTATTTTTAAACCAACCTTGACTCGGGAAAAAAAATTTGAAAATTCCATCCTTGCAGTTTCCCTGCAAGTTTTCCCTTTTGTTACGTTTAATGTACTGCCAATTCAGTCCTTGCCAACTGATGCACTGCAAATCAAAGTTCCACTGGCCTTAGAGATGGCTACGAGCAACCTGGCACTTCAGGGGAGGCAAGACATGGAATTCAAATAGTTACAAACATTCCTTGTGGGTGTCAGAACAAGCCCTGTGCACTGAGCTACAAACAGGTCATGGGAAGGAGCTGGAGACCTGCACTGTTCCTCTGCACAAGGAAGCAGGAATATCTGCCTCTGGGCACCTGCTGGAGCCTCAGACACCGGGAGGGCTGGAGACAGGCCACAGCAACCCAACTAACCAACATCTGCCTCCTTTTATATTATAATTTTTATTCTGGATTAGCTAGAAAAAGGGACATCAGTGTATTTTATGGGACATAGTAATAAAGGGACATTTTCAGATTAACACTAGGAATCCATCTCATGTCAGGTTCCCATTTCCTCTGAGAGGAAATCCCTGACCTTTGAGGGATTGAAAGCAAGAGGGATTGCTTTGTAGAGAGGATTCTGCCCTCAGTGCTGGGGTTACTCTGTACTGCACCATCAGGAGAGGCCACTGCAGCACACACAACTTGCTCTAACCAACATCAAGTATCATTTCCTCCCTCCACTTCCGGCTCAACTCAAATTTCCTTAATTACTGGCTCAGAAACACCTCGACAGCAACAATTCCAGTGTCACTGAGTTGCTGAATAGAGCCAGGTGTGTCCAAAGCACAGGTGGGACACAGCCTAGAGAGCCCTTGGCTGCAGCTGCCGGGCACTGACAGTGACTGCACAGGGTAGCAGTGAGATGTGCTCAGTTCAACAACTTCTGAAACTGATGAAAACAGGTAATAAACCATCCAGGAAAGGTAAAAAACTTATCACCAACTGTATAAAACTGTTGATCTTTTGACAGGAAGGCCGGTGGAATTGTGCTAAGTGTGGAAAGAGGTGGGAATGGGCTCTTAATGTGCAGGTTGTTTGACTTGAGCAAGGTTTGTGGAGCCATCAGTTCCCTAGGATTGGCCACCCAGACTCCTGAGACACACCAGGATTGTAACGTAGCACAAAAAAGTCAGACCAAAGCACAGAGCTTTTTGCTGTCCCTTGAGCTGCCAACATAGGAAGAACCGTGGGGAAAACTGCAGGAAGAGCTCTTGGCATGTTTGTGAAAGGCCCTTTAGCACGAACCACCTTCAGACTCAGTGTCAGCTCAAACTCTTACCAACCTGGTTTTTCGTAAGCGATGGGTCCCACAGTCCTACATCCTCCCATGTAGTGTTTTTCAAATAAAAGTCATTAGGTTCAAACTGCTTAAAATCCTGGAAAAGGGGAAGATGGGAAGAGAGGACAGAGAGTCAGAACCAAAGACCTGGAGCAAAAAGCCCTAAGCAAACCCTGAGCATTCCCTGGATTCTCCCAGGGGCTGCTGGCAAAGGGCACAGATCATTAACCCAAAGCAGTGGGGGTGTCACACCTCCTTAGAGGGGCAGAGCTGTGAATACTCTCTGCACCATAAAACACCTGAAGAAGCATTTTCAGTACTCATGTACTGATTAACCCAAGACTGTAGTTACATACTCATTTCAAAAGCAATCCTGGAGAAAAGTATTCCCAGACTCTAATGTTTGGGGGTTTTTGTTTGGTTAGTTGCTTTTTGGGGGATTTGTGTGGTGTTTTTTGTTTGATTGGTTTTGTTTGTATTTAAATAATTTCCACACAGGAATTCAGATACAATTGTTAAAAGCTGGACATGTGTGATGTCCAAGACACCCAATTCTTATTAAAAAAGTAATCTTACAAAGTACTTTGGCATTTCTCCTTTGGCATGGAAGTCAGCAGCACAGAAGGACTCAAAAATAACATTTCCACTGAAATGAACATTGTCCCAGTTCAGGATTCTCCTCTTAAAAGTGAGACTGGCCCAGCAAATTCTCCGAGCAGGAAGAACTGGCATTTCTTTCCCTTGCACATCTCACTTCAATGCTCTTCACAGAGACACAGACAGAAGAGCCAAAGCAATGGGTCATGTGCTGAGAGCTGCAAGGGGTTGTGGGGAACTGCCAGGGAAAGCTGCACTTCTGGGACAGCACTGATGGACTTTGTCCAGGAGAGCAGCACAAACACCCTTCCCTTGTAGGAACTGACTCAGGCACAAAGAGCATCTTTAACTTCTGACCTGCTATAGCATGGACAGACCCATCCTCTGCCCCCCCCCCTGAACATCCCACACTGCTCCCAGTTCCTGCAGCATTCCTGGGTGTTCAGTGCCAGGTGCCACTTAACAATCCACCACAACCAAAGAGGACCTACCCTCAGTGTCACCAAATCAGTCACACAGAGCCTCAGGTGTGTCTTGGCTCCACTAAACCTTCTAATAAGTGTTTACAGGTACATTTAACCTCAAATTTTTAATGAGCTCCTACTCGGTGTAGAACTTAAACAGGTCTAAAAATAATGTCACAAATCTCTCACAGTGCCCCTAACTGTGGAGAATTTCAGCTCTAACTCTTGGGAGGTGCCATACTTACTTCTATGTGTTCTTTACAGTATTCCAAACCAATGTCACTAAGGATTTTTTTCACAGTTTTCCGGGCCTTTCTTAAACTGCCAAGGTTGTTGACAGGAAGTTGGAACATAGTTTCTATCGAAAAAGAGAGTAAGAGAAAAGGTTTAAATCAAATGTGGTTTGTCTGACAGTGTTGCATTTTTAATTATTAGTAATTGTCTGTCTCATTTCTCCACAGAACTCGTATCAGAGCTGTACCTTTAACTAACAAACTATACATTCTGTCTGATTTTTCTTGGCTGAGCCTGCCCATAAGGCTGGAGAGGGCACTTTAACAAGGCAACAAACTGATGGAACAGCTATTGCAGGACTTTCAGTGCACCTGGAAATAACATTTCTTTACAGTGCTTGTCTTTACAAACCCCTGTGCTGAAGTACTTCAGGACTCAGTTTCTCTCCTGTGCATACGTGTTCTAACTGATTTGAAAACTGGCAAGTTGAGCTTCAGGGGTTGTGTCAGCCTTATAACACATGTACCAGTGTCTCTTGGGTGAGAAAGATGCCCCTTCGCTCAGCTTAGGTGAGGTGAGAGATTAGTGCTGCTTCCCCCTTTACTGCACCACTTGGAGCTTTAACTGGCTGAAGCTGTTTAGCAAAGATCCTTCTGTGAAGAGGGCCCTGAGAGCTTGGTTAGAGACCTTCAGAGAGCAACCACTGGGGAAGTACAAGGGATGGCTTAGACCTCTGTGTGTACCTGAACTGTCAGCTCCACAACAGGAGCTGCTCTTTTGCTCTGCTCTCCCCATTCCCACCCCTTCTCCGCTATAATCAGGGTTTCACCTGCAGTTCTAACACTGTCCAGGCCTCAGACACTCCCCCTGTGCAGGAGGGACCCTGACTGTTCAAACAGTGAGGGTGATTCATGTTGGCCTTGCAGAGCCTGCTCACTCTGGCCCAGGGAATTGTTTTAAATCCTCAGGAAGGCCTGGGAAATAAGGTCTGATCCGAGTTTCTGACTTCTTGTTATTGTGAACACTGACTCAGGAGAATCAGTTACTGAACCCCGAATTCGAGGTTACGGTTCTTTATCAGATTTCCTAACCAAATTCTGATTTATCCACATGGCCACTGCCTCTGACTTGTACTAAGAGCTATTTCTAAAGGCACACATGGAAGAGAAGTTTAAAAACCACTTTCAACACAGGTAAGATTTTCTGACTCTGTTCTGTGTCTGAGGCTCTGAGTAAGTTACTGCAGAGTTCCAAGTTCTGCCCTCTTTTCTCCCTGGCCTTGCCCACACGGGGTATCAGTTACTGTGTGAGCACCTCTGGGCAGAGGCTGCATCCTGTTATTTGTGCTATTGCTTAACATGCCTTTGGATCAAGTAAAATAAAAGTAATACCATTTATGTCAAAGTACAAGCACATAAATGGTGGAAAATTTGAAACCAGTAGTGGATATCTATCTTGCAAACAGGAATTTGTACTAAGAAACTGCTGTACTAAAAAAATTCAGACCACAAAGGGCACATTTATGTGTTTCAGGGCAATTTTACAATTAGTTCAGTTATTTCAACAAGTAGAACAAAAATCTCCTTGACTAAAAATAATTTTGCTTCAATTGTAAAAACAATGTCTAATACAGCCTAAAGTGAGCCAGGTCCATTTTAAAGACAGGAAGAGTAATTGAAAATATTTAACAACAGGGCTGAGGGTCACCAATGCCAGTTCTGTGAAGCATTAGTTACAAATTGGATTAAAAAGACTCAAACCAGATCTGACTTGTGTGATACTAGAACTTCATTACCAGGACACAAAAAATAGCACATAGTGCACAGAGTGGTTCTATCCTAAAGACATGAGAAGGAACGTTAGAAAGGGAGTATTATTCCTTAACAGTCTATTCCAACTCCTCCCTCACCAGAACTGGAGCTGTGGCTCTCAACTCTGAGCTACAATCAAGTCACACAAGTCTGCTTTCAAAGCAGGGCATGATTTCTTTTTTTTTTTAACTCAAGAACAGCCATTTATTATAAGTTCTTGCTGCTGCAGGTCATAGAGCCAGAGTGAAAAATATTAATGTAGCCAAGAAATGACTCGTGGCTCCACCAGCCCCTGCTCTCTGAAGGCACTGGGATAACGTGGCTCTCTCTGGACTGCACTGGCTCAGTAACCCTTCCAGGCACTACCTGCAGGCTCCAGTTTAATATAAAAAATCCTATGTAGCAGCACAGTCAAGTGTGTTCAGCATTTAAATTAATATTTTCACGTGAATTTCAAATCCAAGGAGATAATGTCCTAGAAATTTTATTCCAGAAGAACCCAAGTGATTAATATGAACTGCAGAAACAGCAGTGCATGAACCAGTTGTGGGAAAGCTCCTGGCAAGCCCTGCTGCTTTCTCCAAAATCCAAGTCCCCACTTCAAGAACAAACTCCTTTTGCCTGCAAAGAAACCATTTCTGGGCTCCCCAGAGTCAGTGCAGAGCTCGGCTTGGGGCAGTGATCACTTGTAAACCTGAGTCAGCCACAAGTGCCTTGTTATCAAATAGCTGATTTCAGTACAAAATGCCACTAAACTTCTTCATCAAAGAAACCAAATGTTTTATCTTAATTTATCTTAATTACTGCATCTAAAAATGCCAAATACACGACAATATACAGAACCTCAAAGAAAACGCAAATTATTTAGAACTGCCTGAAAAGATCTCTGTTCTCCCTGCACCATCCTCCTGCTTCTGACCTTTGCCTGCCTCAGTCAAGTCTTAATAAGACAAGAAATTCCAGGTCCTTCCTTTCTCCAGCATCACAACAGAGAATTAGATCTTCACATCTGAAACCTGAACTTTTACAGAGCAGCTTTTAAAATCAACCAAGTTCTGCTTGATGGCTGAATCCAACTCACCTGATCTAACAAAAAACCTCATCCTCAAGCAAATACAGTTCATTTAATTTAGGAAATTTCTGACTATTTAATCACAGTGGAGAGCCAGATATTATTGTGGTCTGTGACACAAAAGCAGCTTTTAGCACCTCCATCATTTCTATTCAGAGCAGTAACTCAAACTGTAACACACACAACCCTCTGCTGGCACCTCCCTGGGTGTGGACATGAAACCTGCTGGGACTGAGCAGCATCTCCAACCACCATCCAGACACTGATGCTGTTCTGGAAACGAGGGATCGATCCTTTGTCTGCCTGAGGTCCCTCCTGCCCCACAGCAAAAGGCTCTTCCTCTGCATCCATCCCTAACCTTGTGAGCCACGGAGGGCAAAGGAAGGGGAGAAATGGTGTAACACCTTGAAAAGCTCTCAGGAGCACTGGTGGGAACAGTCAGGAAAAAACCACCACTGCTGCTTAGTCTTAGGGACTTAACAGTGCAAATATCCCAAGAACAGGAAACCAAGACTTCTCATTTCTATGGCATGATAAAGAACACAGAAAGGAAACAAGGTCTAGCCCCAAATCAGCCACTGTATAGCCACAGAGCATTTTTAACAAACCCCAAACTCTTCCCTGCTTTTTTTTTTTAAACAGATCTTAGCATTTAGACAGGCTTCCAGTGACTCCCAACTCCAAATTACCTCTTCACCACTTGACTCTTACTAGCACTTCAAATTCCAGATGGAAACAATTACAGTCACTGTTCTAAAAACATCCAGAATGTCTGACACATCCTCCTGTTACGTTTCTGATTTTTAAACCAGTTTTAACATTTAATAAACTATCCTCACTGTACCAGCTTCAACTGGCAGTTCAGCCCTGACACAAACCAGTCACCGAGGGACTGGAACCACCTAGGAGCTGAGTCAAAAGATGAATTAAAAAAAAATACTGTGCAATTACTTAGAAAAATTACTGTAAAATACAGCAACTGCATGCCTGGTTATGCTACATTTCTCTGTCAGGGCAAACTGCTCTGCCTTAGCAGGGGTGTCCTGATCTCACACCCAACACTGCACTCCCACCTCAGAGCCAGGGCAGGGACCACCAGAGGGAAAAAACCCAGAAACCCACATCCATCAAATTAGCAGAGGGGATAAAAAAGAGGAAGCTCCCACCTGTCTTCAGACCCTGGAAGATATTTCTATTGTAGTGTAACTAAAATCTTAATTCTCCAGTGGGTCTTTTGTATCCTGGCCCTCAGCAGAGGGGCTGCACTGCACCTGCTGCCTTTGATGCCCTCAGGTATCAGGTGTGAGGCTGATGAAAGGATTGATCTTCCCACGTGCAGCTTCACAGCACCCACAGGCCACAACGCTACTGAGATTCTGGGCAAGGTGCACCAGTGGCAGACCAAGACAGCCTTTTCCCCTCAACTGAAATCTTCAGCCAGCATTCACAATCTGCCCACTGTGTTATTTGCACTTTTGGACACTATTCAGGGTGCTCACTAGGATGGGTTCATGTTTCAGCTTTGGTCCAGCACAAGCAGCAAGAACAATGTATTTCTAACGCCAAGGTCTGCATAGTAAAACAGTGTTTTCAGTGAGAACTAAAGACTGAAGAACTAACCTGGAGGAAGATGTTGCTGTGTAAAGGCACCATGACAGCACCACTTTTCTAGAAAACCTACTCTAGCTTTCCTTCTCTTTGTGCTTAACTGGAAATGACACCATTTCCTGCCCACACAGGACACCTCCCAAGAGGAGCAAGCACAGAATGTGGGTGACCTGAACCTCCCCTGAGGGAGAGTCTGCACCCAGCCAGGTGTGGAGAGCACCGCTGTGAAATGGCAGGTAAAAACCAGTTATGGAATCCCCAGAAGCTGGACACAACCCCCCAGCCCCCAGTGCATTTTATTCTGTTCAGGCGACCTAGACTTGTAGGAGGACAGAGATCCCAAAGCTCTTCCCGAGTGTCTGTTCATCACTGGCTTAACCAAGCCAGTGGAATTCTAGACTCTAATGGTACTGGAGGAATAACTGGGAAGTTCCTATCTGGCTATTTCATTTCTTTCCTTCAAAAGTGGCATGTTGATCTGAGTTCCCAGAACAGAGCAGTTAGAAGAAGCAGTCAATCAGAAAAGGAGAACTACAAAAATTAACCTTTCCTGAGTGAAAACTATGAATGAAAAAAGAAGTGTAGATTATTTTTTACACACATGTAGCAATTTTCTTGACGTTCAGTTTCTTTTCATCAGCTGATGATTCCCAGGCCTACAATAAAAACCTCACAGGAATGCAGAGGTAGAAAGCTGGAAACTCATTTTGAGAGCAGTTTTCCTCACAATGAAATATATAAAGTTATTCATAAAAAGTAACATCTACCCCTCAACCCACCCCTTATACACTAAGCTTATCTTTTCATAGAATCTTTACAGAACAGTTGGGGTTGGAAGGGACCCAGTGCCACCCCCTGCCATGGGCAGGGACACCTTCCACTAGCCCAGGTTGCTCCAAATCCCATCCAACCTGGCCTTGGACACTTCCAGGGATGGGGCAGCTTCTCTGGGCAACCTGTGCCAGGGCCTCATCACCCTCACAGGGAAGAATTTCTTCCTAATGTCTTCGAATTTCTTCTTTTCATCTCTTGAGCTGCTGCTTCTTAAAGGCATTCCATGAAATTCACACTTCCATACAACTTATGTTAAATAAGTGACCTCAGAATAGATCTGTCCATGCAATTACAACTCTCTTAGGGATGTTATTAAAAACAATAAAATAAAGCATCAGTTTTACCTTCTCTTTTGAGCATATAAGGTTGACCCTCCCATTCCTACTGCTCTCATTTACTCCTATTATGAAGACTGAGAAAACCTGAAGTTTTGGGTGATCTGACACCCAACATTACCAATGGCACTGCTGAACAAAGCATTAGGTGTGAGCATGTGTGCAAACAGACATTTGGTAAGCAGTGTGTAAACCCAGCCTCTTCTGTCCCACTGTGACTGTTAGTTTACATCTCCACTCACATCACTCTTATTACAATCATCAGCAATGTAAGAACTCTAGTTCATTAAAGCAACATTTCTGCACATGCTTATAAACCAGAACTTCTCTTACTTTCTCTTTTCCCCTCTCCCCATCATCCTCTGCTGCCTCAAAGGTCCATCCTTTCGGTGCTCCTTCCCCCTCATCCTCCTCCTTTCTTTGCTGGTTCTTGGCCTTCTTGGTCCTTACCTCGCTCATTTTCCCTCTTCTCCTCTTCCCTGTGCCAATTCATAGCGTCCACATTCTTTCGTCGTTCTCTCTCATCCTGTCTCCACCGCTTCTTGATATCTTTGTCCTTAACTTGCTCATTTTCTCTCCTCTTCTCATCATCCCTGTGCCATTTTATTGTTTCAGTATTTTTCTGCGGTTCCACGCTTCTTTTGAGATAGTCTTGTCGCCTCCTCCTCTTTTTTAACATATCCCTTTCCCTGGCACGAGCCTGCTTTTCTTTCTGGGAAAGAAAAGCTTTACGGGGCATCATGAGCTGCTGCTGTACCTGCAATAATATCGTATCCATGGAATGACACACTATACAAGCACCCAGCCAGGCACCAACACCAACACTCCTTCGGAGTCAAGACTTCAAATGCTAAGCCAGGACAATGCACTGCTTGTTCTCTGCCCTGCACAGCCCTGGGCTCGCTCCGTGTTGGATGAGGATGGGCACTGCCAGCTCCGGGCACCGCCTCACCGGCCCCTCTGCAGCACCGGGAAGGGACCCCTGGAACTCTCTGGAACCCCCTGGAGCCCCAGGCCTGAGCACTGAGATTTCTGTGCCCTCCTCACGACCCCTCCCACCGAGCTTTTAGCAGCCCCTCGGCGTTGCTGCACCCAGCTGAAGAACAGGCTGCTAAGAGAGCTGGGAAGGAAACTTGGGAACGTTCAAACCTGTTTCCTCCCTTAGTGGAGAGCTGCACTGACCCAAACTTTAAAAGGTGCTCATTGATCTTTTCAGACCTCCATCTCCACCCAGTTTGGTTGAAAATGGCTCCCTCTTCTCTGGGCTGGGAGGAGGGATTAGGAGACAAGCCACAATCTGAAAAATTGTGTAAGCTTTGTTTCCTGGGGAAACCTGGCCAAAACATTTAACTGCAGTTAATGAAATAAGTCCTGACTCATCTACTCAGACTTCCTCCAAGTATGTTATGTCTTGCTATTCACAAGAACAAAGGGAAAAAAAATGAGACTATTTACTTGGAGAATTCCCCAGGAGTGGGGCTTCTTGGGTTTGGGGTTTTGAAGTTTGAGTTTGTTTTTTAAAGAGGTATCAGTGGAGATTACACTTAACAAAAGGTTTTACTTTTGGTCATTCTCTGTATTCACCCAACACATTCATATCTTCAAATGTAACAATGTTAATACCTGCAATTTTGAAATCATGGAGAACAAAACAAACCCCAGGAAGAAGTTATACCATTACTAATAACCCTTAAATTCCTTTCTGTACACACTGAGCAGTGTTTCAGCAATGACAAACTGCAATTGTGGCCCAGGTTTGAGGGTTTTTTGGGTTTGTTTTGGTTGGGTTTTTTTTTGTTTAACTTTTGTTTAGAAGAGAGATTTGCAGAGGTCTAATCAAAATGAAAACTGCAGAAAAGGACAAAATTACTAGATTAGAATACTTAAACAAAGCCTAAAACAAAAATAAACAAATGTACTTTTAAAATTTAGCTACCTTATGGAAAGCACTTGTTCCCAGCATGCAATACTCCATCTTTTTCCTACAGAAAAAGCAATGTTTCAAACCCTTATTCTAAAAGCTGTTCCTTTCCCCTACATAATACCCCACCCCACACACTAAAACCCTCTCCTCTGGTCCATTGCCTTTGATAGCTCTGTATCAGGATCCCATGGTTTTCATTCCAATAATTCAACCCCAAATTTCTTAATATCCATAATACTAAAAGGGAAGGGCTGCAGCAGAGTCAAACACCATAATCAAAAAAATGCATGCAGTTTGGCAACACATTAGTACAGAAAATTCAGATTATGCTCCAAATTACTTCATTAAAAGGTGTAGGTAGCTCTCTACCAGACAGCCTCGGTTTAGGTATTAAATATTTGGCAGTAACAGCTGGCATTAAAATCAGAAAGCAACAAGAACCCAGGATCAACATCCTCAGTGCAACCCAGACACTGCAAACCTTCAGCAGGGTTTCACTTCTCTGTGGGCTGGGTGCCAGGACATTACTGGTGTTTACTCGAGCAAACTTAACTCATTCACTTTTAAACATACATTATCTTTACAATTTGATCAGTAACCTGACTCAATTCCAATAACAGCATGAATTAAATTGGAAGTAAAACACACATCATGCAAATGATTCTCCCCCCTCCCCCACCCAAGGCAAGTACCAACATTTAAATTTGTCATTTATAAAAAAATAAAACCCTTCTGGGACTAATTGCTATATTTTCTTTCATTTGTTTGTTTTGTTGGTGGGGGTTTTTTTCCCCTTTGTCTTAACTTTTCACAGTATTCTTCTCTCCCCTCCCTTTATACAGCCCACTTTGACAGACCAAGTTATAGACAAATGATAGAAAATATCTTAATAAAGAGCATTTCAGTTGAATTTCCAAAATGAAACATTTCAATTGAGATTCAAATACGTAATGTCAGATTCCAAGGAACAACTTAAAAGGACATCCAGCTTGAATTAAGTATCTCTGAACTTTCCTACCCCAGTTCAGCATGGCATTACTTCACACAGGCTGGTCATTTCCCTTGCAGTCAGAATCTGCTTTCACTTTTACTTCTGATGGTTTTAAACCAACAGAGGAGGGGAAATTTTAACCCAGGAAACTAATTAGTCTGCAGTGAAGCTGCCAGACTGACTGAGCTCAAAGCCCCCACCCCTCAGTGTCTCTAGAGTTCAAGCTGGTGTTCCTTTAAGTTCAAAACATCCGAACCTCAGAAGCAAACAGTCAAAACCACCCTTTCTCTACTATTTTTTGCCCACACTTTGATAAATGAAAATCTTAACTTTTCCCCATCTATTCAGTTCATATAATGAGGCATTTACCTCCAAAATGAATGGTGCTTGGGCGTCTCAGACTCATTGGACAAGTTTCACGCAGAAGCCTCCAAACTCAAGTCTCTTGCAGGCCGCCCGCTCGGGGGATGTTGCACCTACTGGGGGAGGCCCCAGCCCGGGCACGGGAGGAGGATCATACCCTGCTGTCCAAAAAAAGGGGAAAAGACAAAGGTAAGAGATGTTGGTAAGGGCGATCTCACACTGATAATGAGCATCAGTGCTCCTTCCAAAGCACAGTGCTGTGCCTGGGCTGCAGCCAGTTGGTGGCTTGAACAGCAGCCTGTGCTGGGTGGTGCTGCCTGAGCAAGGATGCTCAGGGTGCAGTTCAGGCACCCACTGCACAAGTCCAGCAGTGAACAGAGCGGGAATGGTCCTACTCACACTCCAGCCAACCTTCTGGCTGAGAGGGTTCAGAGCTGTTTGCACCGCCCTGAGCTCTCAGCACCACCCACAGCTGCACCCTGAGGGACACTGAGACACCCCCAGCAACAGCACTGCCTTGGGCAGCTCATTCTTCCTGCAAGGGTCCATACAAACAGACCCACCTTCAGTGACCAGACTATGGGACATCCCCCCAGCCCTGAGGGGACACACATTCCTTTGGGAAGGAATCTAATTCAGATTAGAACTCATTACACTGCTAGGAGGAGGATGGGAAGTTTTGGGGAACGGCATGTAAATGATTATACTTCTTGCTGGAAGACTGATCCCTCTTCAACTCCCACTAGCCATGCACAGAAACTCAGTTTTGAACAGACTGGAAACACAAGACACAACAGCAGCACCACGAAATCTGGAACAGCCAAATCTAAAGTTCATAAAAGCAAAACTTGTTGAGTCATTTAGAATTACTTTGCCAAGGAATAAGGCAAAATAAATTGCTAGATTTTAATCTCTTGATTATTCAGACTGAACATCCACAGCTTAAAGTACAGATTGCTTTCTTTGGCAAGTACAGTTCCAACACAAGACACTAAAATGTTTTAAGAAATTAAAAAAGACAAAATTCTTGAAATGCTTCACACTGAGGCAAAACTGAATATTGCATCTGCTTTAACAAGAGCACCAGCCATGCCTTCAGACAGGTAAGGATGCATGCTGGGTTGTTGTTTCATACTGAAGTATTTTCTAAGGAGAAGGTAACTTTGTGCCCATGTGCCTCTAGCAAGCCCAAATTACCTCTCCCATGGAATCCTCCCTGCAGAAAGCACACTTGTGGGTGAGGACCCATCAGCCTTGAGAGCAGATCAGTGACAGTTTATCAGGCTGATGATGCTGAGCTCAGGGAAGCACTTCATCCCATGCTGGGTCTCCACTGACTGAGTATCATTGCCCTGCACTGTGTTGCTGACAAGGATCCCCAAGCATCTGGCATTTCTGACTCCATATAATCCAAATTTCTTTTATATGAGCCCTTATTTTGCCAGTATTTTATCTCGGAGCCCAACACAGGAGCAAACGTCAGAGCTGGCTGCAGCTCTAAGATCCTGGGCGAGATGAAACAAGACTTGGTTTCTTGAAACTGTGCTTTTTATCTCCCTATTCCAACTGCTTTTAAAATAAGGTAACTTTCAACAGTTTGCCCAGCTAACTACATTTAATAACATGCTCTAAAAGGCAGCCACGAATCAGATTTGCAAAGAAGGCTGGTAGTGCAACATTCAGTGAAATCTCTTAAAATACAAGAAAAAACATGCAAGAAAATGAACCTGTGGTTCCCACAGCAACAGAAAAGCTGTCTCCCAGTGTATGCAGGTTAAATGGTGCTGTGTGCAATGATGGTGTGTAACACTCTATATTCACATGAGACAAGGATGGCCTGTCCCTGGGACTCTGCGACCTGACAGTTCCAAGACAGCTGAGCAAGGAAGAATGAGAGCCAGGAAGCAGAAAGGTGTCTCAAGGAAGAGTGAGCAAGTCAAAACCACCAGGAGTAGAAATACCAGGGAGAACAGGGAAGTTGGAAGAACTGAAGCTACTAAAAACTCCCTTGAAAAGGTGAGAGTTGCAATTAAATCTCTCTCCTCCCTGCACTGAGTGACTGAAAAGTCGGCTACTGACACATCTATCGCTGCCTGACTTTGAGCATTTTCACTTTCTTCTCTTGGAGTCTTCCCTTTCCACATTATTTAAGCATTTCTGGCCTAGTTTTCCGAGGGCTGTGCACCCACACTCCTGTGAAGGTAATGAGATTTGCAGTTTAACAGCACATCTGAAATGCCAGACAACTCAGGGCTCATTTTTCCAATCCACTATAATCCTGGAGGGAGAGTGTTTTGTAACAGCAGCATTTTAAACTGAGAGCACCTCTCAGCCACTGCAGCTGGAAGGTCCTGCCCAGGGAACAGGATGGTCCTGCAGCTTCCAAGACACCCCAGCTCCAGCAGGGAATTCGGGGTGCACAGCTCCAGGTCAGACACAGCACTTCAGTTCAACCTTAGGCAAACGAGCCCCGGCCCTTCAGCTTGTTCCTATATCCAAGGTCCTTTAACCCACATCTACATCCAAAACAGGACTTACTGAAAAGATCTGAAAAAAACTCCCAAATCAAACCCTGGGGAAAAACCTGACATTGCTTTAAAACTAAGACATTTGGAACTGAAGGCAATCAACAGGTGCAAGTTGCTACCTGGTCAAAGCACTGCCAAACTCATGCAGCGCTGTGCACGTGACACCAGCTCCCCCCCACAGGCAAACACACTATTTCTTAAAAGACCCTCTGTCAAAAAGAAAAATTTAAAAAACACTTCAGAGATTAAATCAGCTACATCCAAAAAAAAAATTTCAAGTTGTGTGTCAAACCAAAAGGACCGTTTCACACCCCTTCTCCTGACATCCCATGTAAACATGGCTTCAGGAAAGGAGATGAGTCCATCTAAAATGTGGTACCAAAACACTCCCACCGTATCCTCTGGAGGAAATTCTGAGGCTAAATCTTTGTTGTGCTGTTTCAATGGCTATAGACAATTTTCAGCAAGGGTTTATGAAACTCTGGTTTACATCTCTTATTTTGGGGTTTGCTGTCTCCCTTCAGCTCTTGCACTAAGAACTCCCAACTTGCCATCAGAGGAGAAAGTTCATGGAAGACAGCCGGAGAGAAAGGAATCAGAAAGGCTGATGTGCCTGTCTCCATTCATTCTTTATTTAAAGGTTAAAAAGCCCACCTTCTGCAGTCCAGCAGACAGGCATCTCCTAAGTCATTCACACACTTCTCATTCTTGCTCAATTTCTGGAATTTTCCACTGGAGCCCGAAGCTCCATCTGGTGGGTGTGGACACTCACTGCAAAACTGAGCAGGAATTAACTGTTTCCTCATCAACTTCTGTTCAGGAGGAGTTCTGGGCACTGTGGCACCTCCGTGCCCCAGTGTGAAATCCAAAATGGTCAGATTTTGATTGCTCTGCGAACCAAAACTCCTCATTTCTGCTCCTGATGAACAGTCTGCTTCCCTTCACTCTGCTGGGAGCTCCTCTTGGGTTTTCTGATTTGGGTGACACAGGCTGAGGTGTGTTAAAGGATGTGCTGTTGCTAAATCTGAGTGTTTCCTGAGGGATCTTTTGAACACACATGACAAAGCCCACATCATCACTGGCAATCTACTGCACTCTGAAAAGCAGCCTGAAATTGTGTCCATTCTCCAGGACACAGGAAATCTTGAATTAGAGGCACTTGCAGCTCAAGGATTAGGCTTGCACAACTACTGCCATCTTAAAGAATATCTTTTGTGCCTGTTCAAGACCTCCAAAGGTAAATGCTGCACACACCCATGTGCAGTCAAATCAAGATGCAACACACACACTCAATACGAGAGCCAGGCTTGTTTAGGGCTATTTCTAAAAGATTTGGGTGTGAAATGCAGCAAAACCTGAACATCTTGCTGAAATTTGAAATCGAGACTGGAGATCATCGAAGCACAAAGGATATTATTTGCTTACACCATGATATCCACACTTCAGTGATCAGGAAAAAAGGCTGCATGAATATGCTCTGCAATTCCAAAATAATCCTCATCTAGATTGTAGCTATGCATGAACAATCCCAGAATAAAAATTATTTTGGAAATAGAAGAACGTTTAACGAATAAGCAGTTACCATTTAAGTGAAATCAAGAATCATCTTAAAATTTTCAATGCAAGGCTCACAAAAACATTTGTCTAATTAAACAAAGCAGCACAGAAGTCACTGTAAAATGTGCGAGAACAAAGCAAATAATCAATATACACGTAATTTATGACTGGATTACACTGACTGTGAAACTGCAGCCAGATTAGACTGCAAGGGAAAAGGGTCCCCAGCCCCGTGTGTCATGTTTCCTGACATCACCACTGTGTCAGCAGCCAGAGCAGAGCCCCATCCAGCTGAAAAGGAGCGGTCTGGGGGCAGAGCAGCTCCTTCACTCACCACACACAAGTGCTGGGCCTGGGCCAAGCCCCAGGGCAGCAGGAACAGGGCTCGTGGCAGCACAGACACACACACAGGTATTTACATCGCGAGGGAGGTGCAGCCTTGGTGTGCACGGCCTGTGTGGAGGGGCAGAGCAGTGCAGCCACACAATAAAGCACACAAATACTTTCACAGGCTCATCCAAAGCCCTGCCAATCCCTGCTTTCTCAGACAGCAGATACATCAGCTATTGAAGGGATCTCACCAACTGGCTGCATTGAGTATTTAAAGTGTAAAAATAGTCAGGGAAGGAGGCTGGTGCTGATTGTTTTTCCTCTGCCTTACACTTCACACACGCGATGCACAAATGCTGGCATTACAAGGTTGGGTAAAGTCTGTAAAGAAGAGCTTAAAATCAGTCTTACCACTTCACATCTCTTACCTCTTTCCCTTTCTGTCTAAGCACAGCTCCCAAGTGCTCCAGCCCCTGCCTACATTCCAGCATTAATCCACCTCAGCTACTGCTGTCCTCCGGCTGACTCAGGAACCTTCCACAGGCAAAGCCATCAGAGCAGCAGCAATGGGGAAACAAAACAGAACAGAACATCACAAACTTGAGTCGGACCAGTCAGGAATTAAAAAAAGCATTTTAAGACCATTATCTTGCCCACTTAGATTCCAAGAGCCATTTTGTCCCCTCACTGTTGCTGCTACGAATCTGCATCACCGAGAGCTCCCCTGGCCCAGCTGCAGCACGAGCACAAACCACCAGAGCCACAGCAGAGATCAGTGCCCAGCAGAGGTGACACAGGGTGAAAGGGAGCACGGCTGGGGGCTGGGACAGGGAACAGACAGCAAACTGAGGCCAGAGCAGGCCCTTTCCTCCACTTCAGGGGCTTAGTGTTTCTCCGGGGACAGTGCTTACACAGCTGCTTAGTTTCTAGCTCTTGTAAACTGTTTTAGACACTACTTCAGACGTAGATACTAAATGAAACATTTGGCAACATGATCTGGATACACCTGCAGGTGTGGAGTGTTCACAGAGTCAACTACACAGGCATAGGCCAACAGTCACTGTCAGTTTTCATCAAAATAATCTTTAATGCCACCTTAAAAAAACCCCCCACAACTAAGGATATAAATGGTGGTAACTGAAAGTGACTCACTGCAGAAAAAATGATATTTACTCCATTCTTACTCAAAACCATCAACTGCCACACACATTCAAGAGCACTACTGTGAGATCACAGACACTAAATTCAAGCCTCCTGTTTGCCTTTTGAGAGCTGCAGCGAAGCTCTGAACAATGCAGCTCTTGCCTTGAGGCATGTGGCCCTCAGGTAGATAAATAAGAGCTACACCCTCTCAAAAAATGTCTTTATTCAAATCTAGAACGTGTATTTGATTTTTAAACCAGATCTAAGTTCTTCCTGAAAGCTCAAAAGGAACAGGGTAATTTGGCCATCCTGCCTAGGAAAACCAGGGCACTCTTCCCAAACGTGTCAGCTGAGGCAAAACACACCTTCTACATGTACAGAAGGTATAGGATTTCTTTTTAAGAAAACTAAATTAACATGAACAAGAGTTCTTTTCCTTCTAGTGCATATTCAGACTCAGACCAGCACCTCTCATTCTCATCTCCACCTCTTACGCTATTAAGAACACACTTCTATCAACAGATCTATTTGTATAAGCAGGACCAGCTCCACATTAACAATTACCCTGTTCCAATTACATTCGTAGAAACCATACCCTATATACCTACATAGATACAAATCTAGGCAGAGCAGGTCTTGATTGACTATAATGAAAAACTCCTGTGCTGCTTGTTCAGGTGCAGGCCAGCACACTCAGCTGCTGGCTTCTTAAACAAGCGTGTTACAAGCACCTTAGAAAACACAATGCCAGTCAATGCAGCAGCGTTAATACGAAACCTCAGCTGAACCAATGATTTTAAAAACATCCCCCATTTTTGCCCCTGCAGATAAAGCAGCTCCAGTGGCACCTGTGACACGCTGAGCAGCTGCAGCCCTGTACCTGGTCCCTGCCTCCCAAGCCCCACACACTTACACTGCTCCTCCTCAGATCTGACACTGGTTTGTTCATTCCCAACGTATTTTGTCTCCTAAACCAACTTCAAGTAGTGGAGCAAAGCCAACTTTCCCTTTCTGAAAACAAAACCCCACAAAACACACCCCAATAAGTTTCCTACAAAGCTGCTAAATCTGATTTGCAGCCACCTCAAAATAAACACGTTAACCCAGGAGCACTGCCTTTGCTGCACAAAACCATTTGTTTCAATTGCTTTCTTTGCATCAATCAAATCAGCTGCCATCTTAATAACAAGCTATAAAATATACATTTGGACTGTATGACTTCTGACTACTGATAAGATTCCGCTATGTTTCTGTATTCCAGGGAATGCTACTGTAAACTTTCACATTTGCTTTCAGTGTTTACTGTTATTATGGAGTGGTAATGCTGGGATGGGAATAATCCTCCATTATTCCCTCTGCAGTGTGTGAGCACAGCTCACCTTCCCCAGAACACCGGAACACGTTCACCTCTGATCTACCAGCGATTCAGTCACGCCACAGGGAGTTGGGGAAGCACCCAACAAATGAGGTTTTATACTATTAAAGCCTAATTAAAATGCTGTTACAATATACCCCTGTCAGTGACACACATCAGCTCTGGAAATGCCCCTGGGCATCTTCTCACAACTGGTAACTTCTACCCTACGCACACAGAAAGACCATGAAGTTCTTCATCTCCTCCTGAGGAGCACACACACCTTCCTAGGTGTGTTTGTGCAGCTGATGCTTAATGCTGCAGGGCAGGAACTTCCCAAACCAGCCAAGAAGCTCCTCTCCTGTGAAGGCTTTTCATTCCCAAGCACTGTGAGCAGCAGACCCTTGTCTGTCCTACCTACAGGGAAACCAGCCACCTTTCACCCTCCTCCTCTCCCAGCTTCCAAAGCATCTCCCTCCTACACCTGAATACAAGTGAGCTTACAAGCTCTTCATCACAACAAACTTTGAAGCATAAATAGTGGTAACCTAAGGAGATGCTTTCTACAAACCTGTCTGATGTACTATCACTTCAAATTCAAAACAAAACAAGATTTTTTTTTTTTTTAAAATAATGGGGCATTAAAAATGAATCAGTTTGCAATGATCTCAAAGCGGCCCCCAGACACCTGGAGCAACTCATTTCTATTGGAGACCATAAAGCAATTCTTAAGAGCTAATTAAGAATAATATTCATCTGAGTAAAGGATAGCTTACTAGGAAAAAAAAGTACAAAACCATTTAGCTTAGTTTTACTTCTGGAAAACAATTTATTTGTCATGTGCCAAAAAGGACACCTCTGTTTTGACTGAAGTTTAAGTATTTGCTGCAATAATCTTCAGAAAAGGTAACCACTATGTTACAACCCATCAGCATCTGGTGCAATTCCTTTAACAACAGGGTGTTCCTCTGGTGTTGTCTCTGGCGAACGTTTTAAGATTTCAGCACATATCATGGTACATGTCCATCTGCTGACAGCAAAGTACTGCCCAACATCTGCAAATGCACATCTGCACAGGAACCAAGCCTGGGTTTGGTTTGTTATTAGAAGCACAAAAAAATCCCCTGCTTTTCTGTGTCTCAAGCAGGCTGGTCCATCTTTCTCACCTAGAAGGATGACAACTTGTGATTATGAGCTGCCAGAGTCCTCAAGTGAAAGTTTTTCCCCGAGTATGAGACCCCGCAGGAGGGAGGAGTGCTGGGGCACACACAGTTGAGCCACAGCAGTCAGCTCAGGTCGGTCCGTGCTAGCCTGACAGGCAGCAATGCTGTGTCTCCATTAGCTCACACCCTGCACCTCCAACAGAAATAGAAGATAGACATAAAAATAAATAGAAACATAGCCAGTAAAAAAAGCCTCAACTTAAGAAAAAGGGGTGCAGGAATAAAAACCTCTTTCACATCTACCAGATGCCTCAAATACACCCACTGAACAGCGAACGACAGCACTTCCAGGTCCGGCAGCTCTGCCCCGTGGCCCCAGACAAAGCCCCCCGAGGCTGGAGGAACGCCCCGCGCCGCAGGCTGGGGCTGCAGCCACGTGCCCGAAGGCTCAGAGGGTGCACAGACCGTGAGGCCCGGCCGGCTGTGGCACGGCCCGAGTCCGGTGCCCCCGATCCTTCCCCCGTTCCTCCCCCCCGGTCCCGGGGCCCCCCCGGTGCCCCCCCCGCCGCAGCGGGGCCCGGCGCGCAGGGCGCCCCCTGGCGGTGCCGCCGCGCAGCGCCCCGGCCGGGCTGCGGTGGATCGGGGGGGCCCGAGTGTCCCCCGCGGGCACGGCCGGGGGCACCGGGGCTGGGGGCACCCCCGCACCGCGCACCCCTCGGGGCTTGCTTCGGGACCCCCCGGGCTGCAGCCTCCGCGGGCAGGGGGTGCGCGGCACGGGGGTGTCTCCCCGGTGCAGTGCGAGCCTCCGGGGGTGGTTTCCCCGCCTTTGTCTGCGGAGCGGTGTCGGTAACTGTAGCCCGGGGCAGGGGCGGGTGAGGCAGCGCCGCTCCATCCCGCGGCTGCGGCTCGGGATGGCAGCGGCGGATCCCGCCTTTTCCCGCGGGCACGGACCCCTCGGCTGCTCCCATTCATCGCACCCGGCCCCGCTCGGCGCCCGCTCGGCCGGCGGGGCCGTGCAGCTGCACCCCGGGATGCCGGCCCGGCGGGCGCTGCCGCTGCCCCGGGACGCGGCCGTGCGGGGAAGGGAGGCGGCAAGGCGGGAGCAGCGCCCGGTGCGGTGCCCGCAGCCGCCGGGGCTCCTCAACATGTGTGCGGCGGGGAGGGGCCGCCGCCAGCCCCGCAGCCGGCGCGGCGGGCAGGGCGCGGGATGCCCGCGGGAGGAGGAGGAGGAGGGAGGCAGGGAGGGGGCGGGCGGGCGCTGCCCCCGCCCGGGTCGCCCCGCGGACCCGCGCTCGCACCTACCTGAGCGGGCTGTCCTCGCAGCGAGGGCGGGTTGGGGGGGGGGCGCCGGACCCTCCCTGGCGCCGCCCGGTCCCGGGGCAGGCGGGCGGAGCGGAGCCGGCGGCGGCGCGGGGGAGACAAAGGGGGGGATGTCGGGGGGGAGCAGTGTGCGGGGCGGGCGGTGCGGGGCGGCCCCGGGGGCGGGCGCGGCGGGCACTGGTCCGGGGCGCGGGGCGGGGGCGCGGGCGGCGGGCGGGGGCAGCGCCCGGGCCCCTCAGACAATACAGCCGGGTCCCGCTGCCCACAGCTGCCCGGGCCAAGATGGCGGCCGAGAAAGAGCGGAAGTGACGCCAGCCCCTCATTAGCATACGGGACTCATTGTCCGGCGGGAGGGGAGGGGGCCGCGCCCCGGGGGGGGCGGGGGAGCCCCGGGGGTCCCGGCGGGTCCAGCCCCGCCGCGCCCGCGCCACCGGGCGCTGACGCGGCCCCGCCGCGGGGGGGCCCCCGCGGGGCGCGTCGGGGCGGCCGCGGCCATGGCGGCGGCGGCGGCGGGATCTACCCCGGCCCCGCTAGGAGGCGCCGCGCCCTGCGGCTGGTCCGGCGC